TGGGTGCAGGCTCCATCCCCAGTGGAGAGCGTGCAGGAGGCAGCCGGTCAGGATTCTCTCTCATCATCGATGTTTTTATCTCTCTCACCCTCTCCCTTCCTCTCTGGAATCAATAAAAATATTTAAAAATAAATAAATGGCCCAACAAATCCGTGTTTCTCTCTCCCTTCCCCTCTCTCTCTAAAAATCAATAAATAAAAATTGTAAAAATCAAAATAACCGGCCCCGGGAGAAAGCAGGACTGGAATGTGTGCTTCCTCAGAGCTGCAGGCGCCCAGCCCCTCCTGCCCTCCGGCCGCCTGTCCTGCCTGCACTGCGCACAGGGCGAGGAGAGCGCTACCTGTAAAAAGCCGCCTCTGTGTTAAAGCTGCCATTTCTCCACCATCGCTGACCTGAACGTGCATTTCCAGGCTGCTGGCTGGTGTGGATGACGGCTGGGCCCCGAGGCGGCTACGCCCCCAGAAATGACCTGGGCTCCCGACCCCGCGCCAGGGCTGACAGCCACAGCCCGGCTCCACCCGCTCCTCCGGGGAGACCGGCCCCAGAGAGAAGGGGCAGCAGGAGGGCAGCGACTGAGTCCAACCGACAGGACCAGGTCTGGGTCTCGCCCACAGGCCACGCCTAAAGGAGGCACCGAGCGCCCCCGCATGGGGCTGCGTGCCCAGCCGTGACGCGATGGGCAAGCGCCTGGGGCCGACAGCGCGGCAGGGTCACGGAGGGATGGAGCCTCCATGACCTCCTGCTGCACGCAGGCCAGACGCGTGAAAGTGCCTGTTGCTCAGAACCAGAGTGCGAGCACCTGGCCGGCAAACAAGCAAACAGATGGTTCACTCCTCACCCTCCCCCCAGAGCAGCCGTCGCCAATGGAGGGGCTGTGTCAGGGCCTCAGGTGTCCTGTGGCAGCTGTGCCTCCTCGGGGTCTGTCCCCCAACCTCCCCGAGGGACCAACACCCTATTTTGAGAGAATGAGGTGGTGGTGCAAATGCCCAAGTGTCTGCCCTGGCCGGTGTGGTTCAGTGGATAGAGCCGCAGCCCACAGACTGAAGGGTCCGGGTTCGATTCCGGTCAAGGGCACATACCTCGGTTGCAGACTGGATACCCCACCCTGGTCAGGGTGCGTGCAGGAAGCGACCAATCGATGCCTCTCTCATCGATGTCTCTATCTGTGTCTCCCCTCCCTTCCACTCTCTCTAAAACTCAATGGAAAAATACCCTCGTGTGAGGATCAACAACAACACAATGTCCGAGTCTGAAGACAGCGGGGACAGGACTTCAGCCACGGCTGGTTTGGCCTGAACAGATCTGTGCGTGGCCCCGCTGGGGACCGGCGCCGGCGCTGGCTTTGGGGATGGGAATCCTTTTATTTCATCTGCTTACTTTTTCTAATCTAACGGGGAGAGTCTGTTACCTCGGTGCCCGGGAGGTGGGGAGGAAGAGCAAATGGCTGTAATGAGCGATGGAGGGAGCTTGCCAATGTGCCACCAAGCCGCTCAGGACTACAGCAGATTTCCCCAGACAGGGGTTCCCCAATTCAGGTCACCTGTGCAGTCTCTCGGTGCAGGACCGACTAGGGGGTGGGAGCCCTGGGTGTCTCTGCCCCCCGGATGCTCTTCTGAAGGGTCTCACCGTGGAGGGCTGACTGATGGCGCGTGGACTGGCCAGCAAGCCTGGGAGGCACGATGGCCGAGCTGGGAACCCATATGTGCCTGCGTCTGTCATCCACAAAGGCGGGGTCATCTGCAAAGTCAGCACCACCCCGGCCACCCGTGCGAGGGGGGGGGGGGGGGGGGGGGCGCGGCACGGGGACGGCTAAGGAACCCACCTCGCTTCCTGTCCTGCGCACACAACAGAGCAGGGGTCCTCAAACTACGGCCCGCGGGCCACATGCAAATACAAATATTGTATTTGTTCCCGTTTTCTTTTTTTACTTCAAAATAAGATATGTGCAGTGTGCATAGGAATTTGTTCATAGTTTTTTTTTAAACTATAGTCTGGCCCTCCAACAGTCTGAGGGACAGTGAACTGGCCCCCTGTTTAAAAAGTTTGAGGACCCCTGCAACAGAGTCTGGTCGGAGGTGAGGAGAAGGGACAGGCTATGTGCACGTTCCCGTTAATGTCCCGGAAGCAAGCACAGACCGCAGTGCCGCACAGAGCTGCCGGTGATGGGGGAGGGAGCGGGTCCTCCTGTGTGCTGTGAGGGGTGGGGCGGGTCACACACCTGGAGCCTGGTTTTCTGCTTTTCTCCTGTGAGTGAGCAGCAGGTAACAGGAAAGGCCCCTCTAAGAGCTGCCTGCACCTGGAAGGCGTGCAGGATGCTGCGTGACATGGCCGTAGAGCCCAACGGAACAGACAGAGAAATCCGGGCCACCCCTCGGGCTGAGCACCCTCCCACGCTGGGCGGAGCAGAGGCAGCTCACGGTCCTCAGAGCTGGACCGGCCGAGCGAACGGCAGCCTGGGCTCGGAACCCCCGTCTCTGCTCTGGGAAGCGGAGCCGTGTGGCCCGCCACGGACGGGCTGGGGGTTTGAGCACATCCCTGCCTGGTCTTCCTGAGCCGAGGAGGAGGGTGGTTTCTCATTAATTAACCCCTTTGCACACACCGGACTGGATCCGGGCCGCGGTGGAGCGTCGGGGCCACGGACGCAGCCGCGCGGCCTGCAAGGTCCCCAGGAGTCCTGGTGGCTGGGCCAGCGCGGTGGCCGTGGCTGCTCAACACTGCAGTCAGGCCAAGCCTGCGCCTGTGCCTGCTTCAGGCCTGGAAACACCAGAATCACCCTCCCTCAGAGCCAGAGCGCAGGCGCAAGCCAGACAGGCGCCTGCCGAGAACGGAGCCTCACACTTCTCGGCCCTCCCGAGGGACTGGGCTGGTTGCTATGGCTGGCTGGTGCGATATGTGTTTAAGTGAACCAAAACCTTTAACTAGCTAGAAAAAACAACGC